TCCCCCCCCCCCAAGAGGATGGGACCTGATCAGCGTTCCAAACTTTAGAGAACAGAACTTGTAGTTCTCCAATAAGTTATATTCCACCATCTTTAAACAGAACAGGGGGAAGGCCATCGGAGTCCGGCTCTTTGTGACTTCCCAAGTCTTGGATCTCCTTACGGATTTCCACCTCTGTAGTTGGGTTTATTGAGACAGATCATGGAACGTGTGCCGGAATAGCTGTGTGAGAAGCCGACGCAGGTGGCCAGCTAAACTGTGCTTCAAAGTGCTCCGCCCAGCATGCAAAACGTCGCTGTCGATTACGAATGGGCGGACCGTAAGCCTTGCAGATCGTTTCACTCACATCCAAGGCTTTCCTACCAGTGACCCAGATGAGATGGAACAGCTTACGGGAGTTCTCCAAGGCAGTAGCACGTTCCATCTCTGACGCGCGTTGAGTCCATCAGATTTCGCGATCTCTGCGTGGGCTTGCGTTGAGGTTACGATTCGCTACGAGTCGTATTTCATTATGCTCGCTGCCGGTTGGGCTTGCGTCGATACTCCGCAGAAATCCGGGGTGTCGCGGCACTACGTGTCAAACCACAACTAACTAAACGAGCAGAATGTAGAGCAATCTTGATAAGCGACCAGTGCTGGTTAACGTCACCGGGTGGGGCTGGTTCTAGCTTTTTAGCTAGCGCGTTCTGAAAGACAGTTGGGCGTGCTGGTTGAGACAACTTCTTCTAACCGTCGTTGTGTCGTGCGTTTAGAACGCCCACCGAAGCACATGGACAGCTTGGCGCAAACTAACGCGTTGTCGGATTCGAGCTGCAGTCTTGTCGAAATAAACCGGTTAACTCAAGTGAGCACGGTAAATTACGTGATAAATGAGCCATTAAACCAAAAATATTTAAGATAACAAGTGAAACAGTGATCCCCAATACAATGCCACAATGTGTCGATCAGTACAGCAAACAAGCTTATTTTTGGTACTTCACAACGGGATCAGTATACTTTAAGTCTGCATAAAACCGCCGTATGAGGACCACCATGAAGACCGGGACTGACCATGCTAAAAGGACCAGTCAGACAGCTATAAAAACGGAGTTTCAGAATAGATAGGGTCAACTGGAGGATATAGTCTAATCATCACAGATTAGCGCCGGAAAAAGTAAAATCAGTGCACATGCAAACACGGTACCAGTATCTGACACACCAACGAAAACCACCATGAACGGACACTTGGGAAAGTTGAAGAATGTACAGAACGGTCCTCGTTTATCCTAACAAATCCGAGAATGGTTTGAGAAGCGTCATCTTTGTGAGCAGTATGTTCGCTGCGCACATGAAGAGTCAGCTGGTGGATTTCCGCCGTATTCAAAAAGGATCAGGGCATTCTAGAGGAGATTAGTGTATTTATTGTTGAAACCACCGAACAGACCGACGAACCACTTGACCACTGATTCACAATCTTTCATGATCGACCCGCTTTAGATTATACGTTTCGTTCTATGTAACCGGATTCAACCATCACTGATCTCGTTCGTCCACCGAAAAATTCACTTCAAGTCAGTAATAGCTTTCTGCATCCGAATGGGCGAATTTTACACCATATTTTTGGATGCACCGGTAATGGCGCAGTGGACATGTAACAACAGTATGTGACTGATGATAAGAAAAAAAGTCTCCTGAATCAATTCAGCTGGGCACAATCAAAAACAGAGTACATACTCGAACTGGAATCTGACTAAGGCTTTCATTTCCTAAACAATCTGTGGTTGCGGCGATCAGTACGATGATCCATGTGCTACAAGAAAACATGAAATTATCAACATACAACCCACTAAAGTTTCCTATTGCTCAACCAAAAAAGAAACCTTATCCGGAGGGTAATCGATAGTACCACTAAGCTTTGCACCTTTATTTATTTAGATGAGCAAATAAAACGAATTTTTCATGGTAACAGATGGTAAAGCTGAACTATAATTGTGAAGGACATCAACAGTGATGATTCCATTTAGAAACGATAGCATAGCGTGCATAGTTGAAAGAGGACTACAAACCAGTCTTAGACACAACTATTGTGAAGCTGAGCCTCGCATCCTGCTCAAGTACCAAGCAGTCTTCTCTCTATTTGGACGCAAAAGGTAGACTACCCATGCACAGCCTCGTTCTGTGTATCAACGTATTTACTCCTGTAGGACACGTTAGTTAGACTGAACCAATAGAGGTTGATTTCGGTCAAATGATCGTGTACTGAAAATCCATCCTATTGATCTGCCTGCGAAAAAGGTATTCTCTCCTGTCCACACCATCAACGGAAGAACAGGCCAAGAGGACGGATACCATATTCTATCCGTTGCAAAGGCTGCAGTGATCCGTTTGATAACCCGCCTCCCCCCTATGAGCACATTAAAAATCAGTTCAAAACTAGCCCGGTTATCGGTAAAGCGTCGGGTGGTGTAACTCTGCATCCGTTAGTGAACTTGCTTCACATCTGATAGAAGAAATGCCATAAAATAGACATGACAGTTATCAGGACATCTGATGACCCAGCAATTTATTTTCCGACGCAAATTATCCGAGTACTGTTATTTTTCCCTTCCATCATGAGGTTTCCTGTCTCAAGCAACATCACACTTTGACCGTATCGCCGTGAACCACAAAAACATACTCGTTCGCCACTCTGTGTTCCAATGCATCGATCGGATAATTTCAAACATGTATCGAAACCAGGCCACAAAAATCACGCACACTTCCAAACGAGTACTAAAACGGCTGCACCCAGAAGTAATACGTTTAGCATGACTATCTGAAAGGAGACAGTAGCATCCGTTCTAGTGCCGTGAGATACAACCATAGTCTGCCTAAAAAAGCGATGATCGTACAAACTGCTTGAAAAGGAGCTCTACACAATTCGATGTGCTAATTGGTTTTGACAAGCCAGGGAACATTTCCAAACGACTGTGGTTGTCTCAAAATCCTCGATGTTCATGAACAAACAAACTCGGCTTAAGGGGGCTCCGTATGCCTGTTTGTTAGCCGTCAAAAAGCGAATGCACTTGTTATTATTCATTATTGGCAATTATTGTGCATACATGAATACAATCATCCGAAGCAGAATATTAAGGCCGTTGCGGTGGGATTCAAATATCCTCCCTTTGCGAGACCGATGGAGTCCAATGCGAGTAAACCAAAGCTAGGCGAGATTGACAGCACATCACAACGGCTGAACGCCTAGATTTGCGCCTCCATAGATGAATTCCCTGTCACACCTGCGATAGGTACGATTAGGTGATCTTTGCCGATAAGGTTGTACTTGAGCACAAACGTAGTGAACCGTCGACACAGGGCAGTCGCGTCCTAAAAGGAACAAAAATAGAGCGGAAATTAGGACATTTCAGTTTAGTAAGTGGTGCCGTATTCAAGCTCATTATGTGAAAATGGGAAGTTTGATGATGATATTATACATCAACATTTTGTTTGTAAAAAAAACAGAAAGTTACCCCAGAAATACGTTTTACAATGAGTACTCGAAAGTATCGTGCGGATTTAGATAGTTGATCAGATTGGCATCAAATAGATCTGTCCGGTTTGTGACTAAAACACGAAAAATCACCGTATGCAGTACTGTTATGACGTTTTCTTTTCCACTACTTTATTATTGTAATGAATCTAAAACATGACAATGAGATCTGAAGTTAGGGATTTTTGAGCTGTTATATTATTTATTATACATCACATTCGTCTGGGTCCAAATTGTATGCCCAAAACATCCCCTTAGAACAATTGTATGATGAAGAAATTTACTCGTGGGCGTTATATTGTTAGCTTATGGCAAGTGAATTTTCCTGGGGACTTCGAAACCGAAGCCTTTGGTTAGCCAAAGCCCGTTTCACAAGACAGCACGACGGTATTTGAAAACTGTGGTCAATTTGAGCCAGGATTGCCAATGCCCAGAGGTTATTTAGACAGTAAATGTATGCACTTAATTACTGGATTCTCATCACATGACAGCTTCATCATGATTGAACAGCGGAAAGTGGTATTAACCTGGTCATTTCGCACACGTCTAGTTTATGTGAACTGAGTGATTGAGTTATTCCTTTGATTTGATTTGTATGTTCACTGAAGTAAAAAAAAATAGGTGTCGCAGTTCCGGTTGTTATTAATCTGTGAACGGCGTTCACACGTGGTAGATGAATCAAGGGTAACGTAAGAGATTTGAGAACATGAAGGAAGCGACTAACGACGAGAATGCTGCTGACCATGACAAAAATGTTTTCAAGTGATTATATTCGCTAAATCGGAAACCCTTATTGTTTTAATATCTGTTTTCGTGCTACTCGTACATTTAACTTATCCGACTAGAGTAATGAGGAAACGGAAATGACGGGGAAATCATTCAGATTTAGGCATCTAATACTATGACCTTGTGATGAATTTCATTCTGCTGCCTTCAGTTTCCCAACCAGTCATTGTAGGCTGTTGTGTGAGTTTTGATTGCTGTCTTTCGGCCAATGAGGACTTTTTCAATTTTTACACGACTGTCACTTGTCAGAGAATAAGTTGGCCTATTGCGTTTTACCCCCTGAGATTCTCGGGAATATTGCCACAACTATTTGACCCTCTTGTACATCTACCTTTTACACGTCTAGCACAAACTCATATTTGTGTCCCAAAATTTTTAGGTAGGGTTAGCGGTCAATCTAAAGGGCTTCCATTTAGAACCAGGACAAAACAGTTGCAAGGCAATGGCGTTTTATAGGAAGACGCTTGAAAAGTGAAAACCCATCATATCCTCGTTTACTGTCGCGGTTACCCATCAGGAAGTGTTAGGGTAACTTTAAGACTGCGAGCCCTGGTTAGGGGTTTCTAAATCACTATGCTAAATCTTATTCTAAGCACCTTCCATTTACTTCCATTTACGTCAAGTAAGGGCATCCTGTGGCATGCATAACACATACCTGACACCGAAACCTATGGAGACCGGACAGCCGCTCCAGTGAACACCGCTTTTTGTTTTTGGTTGTTCCAACAAACTCGTTCAATGAAATGTATGCACAAGCTTTCGAACACGGATAGTCTGTTTTAAACCCCTCGGTAACGACTATGACTCGGTTTTCATTAAACACGAAGTGATTTACAGCAAAATCCTATGATGAATGTCACACTGTAAAGGGGAAGGTATGTGAGGGGTATTCAACTGTGAACCGATTTGTTAATCCTGTTTTTGAAAACAGTAATATTATAAGTGCTTGGAAACACGGAGATGGGAAGAGTGTTACACAATTTCGCAGTCCTGAAGAAATAAGAAGATTGGAGGATAGAAGTCCGACGTCTGAACATGATAAGGGCGACTACCCGCCTGAGAACGAGAAAAGGTCAACACGAGGGGAAACACTGAAGCAAGTTCAGAAGAGCAGAAACCAGCATACATTCGCCCACTCACAGAGTATGTTATCTATGATGGAATCCATGGCTACAACGTGATTGCAAAATGCTGGAGCGTCCACAACGGATGACAACCAAAATGGTTAGGGGGTTATTAATAAGCTGAGAGACTGAAGTCTCTGGGGTTATATATATTCTAATTATATATTATATTATATTATTATTATATATTA